TAATATATATATTATATATATATATATATATATATATATATACATATATACATACGTGTGTGTGCATGTTTCTATGCCTTTAAAGCATCCTTCCCTAACAACATGCCTTTCCTTCATCAGCATGGGACTGCCGCCGCTTCAGACCCTGCTGATCTGGCTGTGCCTCGGGCGCGGCGTGGCCCTCGCTCGGTGCTGAATTCTACAGCCTCGACGAAGCCAAGAGTGGAACCCAGCAAGGGAACGCCGCCCAGTGAAGGAGGAGGCGCTAAAGGAGACCAAGGAGCAGAACTTCAGAAGGTCGTAGAAAAGAAGGAGGCGGTAGAGTGTCCGAAAGATGTAGGAAGCGGCGTGGCAATTGATGAAGGTGAGAGCACCGGGGAGTCCGACTTCGAGAGCGACGAGGATTGCGATACGAGCATTGTAAAGGGAGACGGAGGAGAAACGGACGAGGAAGATGAGAGTACAGAAGAATCTAAAAAGGGGACTGGTAAAGAAAACGGAACTGAAAGTGGCGGAGGTAAAGGGGGGAAAGGCGAGAGTGGCGTGAAAGACGAAACAAAGGCAAACAAGACCAAAACCACTAACGAAACTTTGAATGGCGTGAAAAACGAAAGCAAGAGTGACGTGAAAAACGGAACTCTGAGTCGGCCGAAAGTCAAACCTGGAAGTGGCAAAAACAGGACAGGGGATTCTGACTCAAGTGACATTGAAAGCACTGAAGAATCCGACTTTGAACAAACAACTGAAGATGAAGAAAAGGAGAGAGCTAAAAGTGAAAAGAAGGCAAAACAAGCGGAGGAGAAACAGAATAAAGGCAAAACAACTGAAGATGGAACGACTGGCAATAGGTCGATGAAAGTGGCAGACCAAGCAAAGAAAACCGAAACGACTAAAGGTGGGGAAAATGACGAGAAGGTGAAGGAAGTGGCAGACGAAACGAATGAAAGTGGAACGACTAAAGATGGAGAAAATGACGAGAAGGTGAACGAAGTGGCAGACGAAACGAACGAAAGTGGAACGACTAAAGATGACGAAAATGACGACAAGGTGAACGAAGTGGCAGACGAAACGAACGAAAGTGGAACGACTAAAGATGGAGAAAATGACGAGAAGATGAACGAAGTGGCAGACGAAACGAACGAAAGTGGAACGACGAAAGATGGAGAAAATGACGAGAAGGTGAACAAAGTGGCAGACGAAACGAACGAAAGTGGAACGACTAAAGATGGAGAAAATGACGAGAAGATGAACGAAGTGGCAGACGAAACGAACGAAAGTGGAACGACGAAAGATGGAGAAAATGACGACAAGGTGAACAAAGTGGCAGACGAAACGAACGAAAGTGGAACGACTAAAGATGGAGAAAATGACGACAAGGTGAACGAAGTGGCAGACGAAACGAACGAAAGTGGAACGACTAAAGATGGAGAAAATGACGAGAAGGTGAACAAAGTGGCAGACGAAACGAACGAAAGTGGAACGACTAAAGATGGAGAAAATGACGAGAAGGTGAATATGGCAGACGAAACGAACGAAAGTGGAACGACTAAAGATGGAGAAAATGACGAGGTGAAGAAAATGGCAGACGAAACGAATGAAAGTGGAACGACTGAGGATGAAGAAAATGACGAGAAGATGAAGGAAGTGGCAGACAAAACGACTAAAAATGGAGAAAATGACGAGAAGGTGAAGGAAGTGGCAGACGAAATGACTAACAATAAAAAATATCACAAGAAATTGGCAGACAAAAAGAAAGAAAAAAACGCTAAGGCTGAAAAAAAGGACAAAAAAGTGGCAGACGGAACAAAAAAAGAAAAGAAAGTGACAGACAAACCGAAGGATAACGAGACGACTATGGCTAATAAGAAGGAAAAGAAAGTGACAGACAAACCGAATAAAGACGAAACGACTATGGCTAATAAGAAGGAAAAGTGACAGACAAACCGAATAAAGACGAAACGACTATGGCTAATAAGAATGGAGTGGCAGACAAAAGGAGAAGTAAGAAGGAACCGAAGTTGGTCATAGCGCCGATGGAGGCGACACAACCGAAGGTGGAGATTGAGACCAACTCGAAGTTGACAAAGCTAGACCATTGAAAATAAGTGACGATGATAGGGAAGATATCAATGACGAAGACAGAGATGAAAGTGACGAGACGGTGACGAAAGTGACAGACGAAAACAAAGGATAAAACCGAAATAGAAACTAATAGAAGAAATAAAAATAAAGAAATAACGAAGAGAAAGCTACCGAAAGATACGATACTGAAAATGACAGAAAGACAACGAGGAGGAAAATGACCTCACATTCACTAGCGAATTACCCAAGAATCCATGTTGAAGTTTTCGGTAAAATCTGGTTTTGAAGTCGATGCAAAAAAGTTCAATCGGCTTGAGAGTTGAAAATAAGAAAAAAAACAAACTAAGGCCTGAAATTGAAGAAAAAAAGGGGTTAGTGGAGATAGGCCTACGGAAAGAAGCGTATTATTGGTGATAAA